GATAGTGCAGTTCAAAATAACAAGCAGATAAAAGGCAAAAGTTCGTCTTTCTCCGTAACTCCGAACTTTTCGTCGGCTCTAATCTAACCGGTAGACTATTGATTGACATTTGGTCATAGGTTTTATACGAATGCGACGATTAACGATAATAATATTTTTCCCACTCGATTCAAAGACTGACATATATTGATTCTTTGTTTTAATTGTATAAATATCATCTGTCAGAATGTTGAAGAGCTGATGATCGCAGAAGCGAGCGACGACGACGACGAAAAAGAAGATACTGAAGATTGTTCAAATACCCGCTACGCGACGCACTCTGAAACCTCCGACTTCAAAATATCCGACTCGGAGCCGGAGAGGTACGTTCCACCGCCACGCTACGCGTATACTTCGCGGGTAGGTAGAGATAGAATACGTTTTGAAAAAGATGAAGTAAGAAAATGAGAAACTGTAAAGGAAATAAATGGACAGACCGAGTATTATTATTACAGGCTAGTCACTTATAATTCTCATTATTCAATTGCTCGATTCGAATCGATTCCTATTCATCTTTCCACTTCTTGCTGAGTCTTCAAAGGATATCACAATATTTCGGATATTTTCCATCAAACACAGCTGAATCACACGGCCGGAAATATTGAGCAAAAAACACACGTCTTCTCGGGACACACATTTTTCAATTGAACCGTCACTTTTTTTTTTCTCGTGACACAATTTTTTACATTTCTTCAAACTAAAAATGAATTCATTTAGACGATTTTTATATTATTATTGGCCATTTTAAAAATCTTCTTCGGTTGCCTTTCAAATTGACCTACTAATAACGGAATTTCCACTTCCATTTAACGGAAAATCCCTCGTTTTGCTCAGGTTTTTTGCTTCAACCTTCTCACGTGCCGTATCAAGGTGTACCATACTGATATGCATGTTTATTGTTTTCATCATTTAGATGAAATTTAGCGTTATAAGCAAAATGTAATTTCGTAAACAATTCTTCACCGCTCACATTTTCTTGAAGAGTTTTCGTGTAAAACTTATCATAATGTCGTTGGAACACAAATTTTATTGTTGTGAGCGTAATTCACTCTTTGCTTTCGATTCTTTTTTTTTTTAATTCATGGTTTTACTAGATGTTTACATAAACAAATGTGATTAAAAAAAAGTCTCGATCAATATTTTCAAGTCGTCCAAAAACGATCCATTTGAAAATCGTTTTGCTGGTAAAATAAGGAGAGTGTGAATTAAGTTTTTCAACATTTTTTGTTGATGTGAACCTCTTAAAAGCGAAAACTATAACTCTAAATGGATTTAAAACTTCTCTTTAGCGAAAAATCTGCTCAACGGAAACCTCTAGATAATGGAAAATAATTTGGAACCATGCGATTTGGGAGGTTTTATTGTAAAAGTTTTAGACATCTTCCCAATGAGACTATTTTTAACAGCAGAACAACCGTTCGCAAAAGCACAAAAATCGCCCACAACAGCGCAACCACATCGTCGCCCCCTTCGTCCAGCACCCGTTCTGATGCCAATTGATTTTGGACAACAGCAACAACCGATGGAAGAAGATGAAGATGGTAATGATGAACAGCAACAACAGCACCATCACCGGAAATAAAACCATCGCTTGACTCTTGATATTTGTTTGTTTTATTTTTTATTTAACACCGCCAAGCTCTGGCTGGCGTAATATATTATAATAGATTGTGGGCGGAAAAGAGTGCAAGACTGTTACATCAATTAGTATATACTTACAATGATTAATAATAACAATAACTATCAGTTCTCGCCTCGTTAAAAACCTCTCTCTTTTCGTAAACTTTTTGCATTTACACAAGTAGGACATGAAAACAAAAACACAGTCATACAACCAAGATGGAAATTCTTGATATTAGTCCGATAGCAAACGGTCCAAAATAACCTTTGGTAAACGTTTCCAAAGGGACAAAGGCTATGTGAAGCGTTAACTGTTACGCGTTTAATTTGAGACTTTGAGACTGCAAAAGTCGTCACTCAATTTATACAGTAGATAAATTGACGAGAAGTTTTACGTCCGTTTGGCAGACATATATTCAAACAAATTACTTTTTCGCGCACTACATGAAATTTGTCTGTCGAAATAAGTTTGCGGTGATATATCATTGTGTGTGTGTATAATTTTTTGTGTAAATGAGTTCTTTAAATAATAGTGCAGATTAAAACCACAACACAAATAAAAATATATTTTTGCAAGTAGTAACAAAGAAACAGAAAATCTTTTTGAAAATATGGATACAAAAATGAATTAATCTACATTCTTGAAAAGTGGCCCTTAGAAAAGACAAATTCATTCGTTCGTTTGAACATTCACCATATTCAATGCCGACAGAGCTGCAAATTTTTTCTCTTCTTGTTCATCTCGGAATCAGTACAATGGATAGAAAGTCAAAAGCAATGAAAAACTGAAGACTAAAAAAATAAAGAGAACAAGAAAATGAATTTTGGTGTTTAATTTCTGTTTGAGTTCATTGAATTATTCACCAAAATAATGCATTAATGGCTTTTCGTGATTTATTCTAGGTAATAACGCCATAAATCCAGAGTACGTGGTTCCAGCCAAGGGTAAATTCATGCTTTTCCGATTGACGTGCAAGAATATCGAAACAAGATGTTCGTTCGCAAACAAAATGAGTTCTTTTTATTTAAATATTCCAAATCAGTGGAAAAATTTGCATTTTTTTTCGTCCAAAAAAAAGCAATCATTCGACGGAATTGCTTTAGTAGGAAATATTCAACAAATAAATGAACATGGTGAGTGCGGTCATTCACGAAAAGTTTGATTAAGTATACGTGAACAATTGTGTTGACCACAGTTGATGAATTTTTAGCAGGTGAGATTTGAAGTAAAGGAGTTGAAAATTGAACTATAAAAATTATCCAACACGCATACGTGTTTTAAATAAAAAAGAAACAATTCTTTGCTTGAGATTTTCACCGAATACTCAATCGGAATACTCAATAACGGAAATGGACTTTCTCAACTAGCAAAGAAAAGTAAATGTATGCTCATTACCTTAAATTGTACATTTCATTGCTCTATAGTGATGTATCGCTTGATAATGATCACTTCCAATATGCTGTATAATTCATTGCATTTAAACTGACTGGATGTAGCATAGCCGCTAATCAAACTGTCAGCTATGCCGACATCTTGCCAATTCGATACAATAATTGTTTGAAGAGAAGAAGTGTGCAGGTTAAATCCGAAATCACCACCGAATCACTAATTGAACTGAGCATTTTATTAACAATTTCTAAATCTTACATTGATTATTAGAAACGACTGATGATTACAATTATTCTTTTTCAAAAGAAATGAAACACAACATTAAAAATTTGGTTCTTAATAAAAAAATCTGAGAACTTATCGGTAGAACGGCTACGATCGTACTGAAATAAAGAAAGTCAAGAACAAAAAAGATCAATTTGGTTGCTCAAGTGAATCGTCGGCGTTGGCCGTTGGTTGAAGTGCAAAGAATGGTGACAAGGAGAGAAAGAAGAAGGAAGGAAAAGCATTTACAATCAAGTCTTTCTACTTTTTCTTCTTTATTCGTGGTATGATGTGTGTATGTTCGCTATTGAGCCACCAAAATCAGTGTGTGAATACAGTTAGAAGTCGGCATAAATCGTGTTTAAAATCTAAAACGACACAAGGCCCAAGCACCGCGCCGATAAATAGATGGGTATAGACAATTTTTGGTGCCATTGTATTTTTCGGGCTGTTTTATTATGTACCTGACTGCAAACCATAAGTACACTATGAATATACCCGAACATGTGAGAGAAAGAAAATATGATGATGTGAATGATATACTACCTACTCCGCCCTTCGTTGACTTTGTCAATCCATTCATTTCGGTATTGGGATTCATTTAGTTTGGCAGCACAAGTAATATTCATTACGTATGCAAAGCATGCATTTTGAATATAATAAAAATTATTCGTCTTCTTCTTTTCGTTACTATTGCTGTTGTTTTGCTTCGTTTTTTGTGTGTGTATGTGTGTGTGTTACTGTCGTTGGTCTGTGGTTCGACGCTCTGAATGAGACGATATTTTCTGTAATGTGCTTCTGAACGGCGAATAAATTTGGACATCAAAACTTAAACAGAAATTATAATATTTTTGTATCTACTACGATCCAAAGTGATATTGTTTCTGCCATCATGTGGAATGGAAGAAAATGAATTGCCGCAAAGTGCCAGTCGGCTCTCGAACGGAAGGAATACCCATCTATGGTTTGATTTGCTTTCAATCGATGTTTAGCATATTTAAAGAAGAATGAAAAAAAGAAAAGAAATACACGCATACAAAATGTGTGCACATGATATTCCAAGAAATTCAAACACACTCATCGTCAACCGAATAATTTTTCGTTGACCGGGAATCGATTGCAACGTGTTGAAAATAACAAATTAGCACGAAAAACATAGCGGACAAAATAAATGCCGAGTGAATAACAACAAATGGTTGTTCTTTTTAATTATGTTACAAGCTGTTGATAAAATCAAGCAAAGAAACTGTCATGGAGAAAACAACTTTGATTCAGAGTCAGTCAATGCTGGTTTCCGTTGTTACTGAAATCATGAATAATAATAATACTGTGTACTATAAATGGAATTCCGAATTTTTCTCAATGGTAAGTTCATAGTGCATTCATATCCAGCGGGAAAACAACGACAGTTTCATGAAATATTAACCATTTTTGTGTGAGTTTTTGAACAAAAATCCATTCATTGATGAATGGTCGTCTGGTTGATGACGGCCGACGACGCGTTTTGTGCGTACCAACTCACAGGGATGTGAATATGTTCATTCATAGTCAATGCATTTGAAATATGCGCGGTTGTGTGTGTATGCACGGTAGCAAACATGAACACATAGTCGTTACGTAGTAATCGCTGGATGGTTGCACGTAACCAACAAATCCGGTGAATATGCGCATGTGCAGTACTATCGCAAATGTCATGTATAAACTGCAAAAAGAAAAACATATCCAAATTGATTCCATAGATAAAAACCCTCAAGTTGAATCAGAAAAAAAAAACAATCGATCGATTTTAGCAGCTTTGTTGTTTTCTTCCTATATTAAATCGCATTAGAAGTGTATATAGAATTGATTTTTATTCATTTTTTCGGTATGTTTTAGTGAATTCAGGTAAACAGATTCATTGCATATTTGAAATTAGTGAACATTCGCATAAATTTCTTTTCTTTAACAATCGAATTAGAATCGTTGTTTTATCAGTGCAAATATTGGTTCTGGATTGTTACTGAAATGTTGAAGCCTGATCTACAGCACCAGTTTTGGGTGACAAAGAAAGCCGTTCAACGCAAATTGGGAACGAAAGAAGATGAATGTATTGTATCGTCGGACGCTGAACTAGACTCGAAAATTGATTTACTCAAGTCAATTGGCGACAGTTGTTCACATCTCAAGCGTATCCTCGACAATTATCAAGAGAAAATTTGCATTCTAGCACAAGAAGAGAATGCATTGGGCGTTTTCCTCAAAGAATCAAGTAAACATAGCACAACTACAAGCAAAGCCATGAGCTGTGCCGGAAAATCGATTTCGTTTTGTGGACAACAACACATGAAAATCCGAACACCATTGGTGCGATTGCATCATGAGGTCGAAACATTCAATGGCCAAGCGATAAAAGATACTTACAACACGGTACAGGCAATGGAACGGGAACGCACCGAGTATCGAGCCGCATTGGGTTGGATGAAAGCGGCCAGCGCACAATTGGATCCAGATAAAGGCAGAGGTCTTGATAAATTCCGTAATGCTCAAATGTATGTGAGAACGGCCAAAACTAAATTTGACACAATGACATTGGATTGCTTGCAGAAGGTTGGTACAATTTATACAAATAAAACGAGACATAAATTAGCCGCTTAAATTCGGATTAAATTGATTCAATTTCAGATTGATCTATTAGCCGCAGCTCGTTGCAATATGTTTTCACACGTTTTGGCCGCATATCAAACAGCTTTAATCGACTTCGCAACAAAAACGTCGTACACATTTCAAGCGGCCTTAAAAATTCTCGAAGAAAAACCACAGTATAATTTCACCATTTTAAAAGATTTAACACAAGTTCCAGTAGTATGCGATACCAATCAAACTGAATCAAAAGAAATTACCCCAATCGATTTCGATCAAATGCTATTCTTCAAAGTATTTTACTCACCTAGTTTCTAGTTATTAAAAATGTGTTAATTTTTTGCTTGAATCAAATTGCAGGAAGATTTCGAGGACGAAGTCAAATCATCAGAAAAAGATAGTTCAGCCGAAAAGCCTGTAAAGAAAACGGCCGAAGAGCCGACAACATCAAAAAGTGAAGCCAGTATAAGCGCAACAAGTGAAATGAAACCCACTGTAGATGATTCGACCATTTTCGATTTGCTCGATTTATCAACGACCGAACCAACTGAAACCGATTGTTTGCTAGACATTTTCAATAGTGCGGCAAATAGTTGCAAACCAACTCCAGCCACCGCACAATCATCATCGAATATTTTAATGTTTGACTTTCTAAAAAAAATACCAGGTTCAACGTCGGCGACATCGGCGACGATGGAAGCAAATAGTAGTAAAAAGGGTGCGATCAGTAAACCAAAGATGAACGATAAGAAAACATCGGCATGGATGGATTTGTTTGCTGATCTTGATCCGTTGGCCAATCCTACGAATATGGAAAAAAAGATCGCCGGATTGAATCAGAATTGCTTAGACGCGTAGACAAGAAAGCAAACAAACAAACATATAGAAGCGATGAAAAACGTAAACATCGACAACCGATCTCCGTTCATATTGAGTTTATCTCGGAGTTTGTGTCTGTTTGAAAGCATACAACCAACACGGAATTAACATATTCAGTTTGTAATTTTTTTTCTTCTCTTCTATATTTTTTTTTTCTCTCAAACAAAATAGATACGTTTTCATGACGCTAATTCAGTGTGTCTTGAATATTGAATAATTTGCTGTGTGTGTGTATCAACTTCTGGAATCTAATGTAACAGATCTCATATTGTTTTTTTTTTTTTAATTTTTTTAAATTAGATTTTAATCCAGACATGTGTTGTAACTAAATATGTTCATTCTTGAATTTGTCATCATTCTCTTGATTTTTTTAAAAATAAAAACTATGAAGATCAAGCAAATTTGTATTGAGTGTGTGAATCGGTCATTTCTAGTGGTTGATTGAATACTTTGTTTTTTTTTTAGCAAAAAAACCGAATCAAATCAGTATTTGGAGTAGTATCATTTATTTTTCTTTTTTTTTCTCTTTTTATTTTAATTGATTTACAAACTGTTGTTCTGTTTTTTTTTTTTTGATTTCACTTTGTGTATAATTGTTTTTGTTTTCTTTCATTTTTAAGATGTTAAAATTTTTTTAAACTCTTTCTTTGTTTCTATGATTTTCATTCGGTTCGCTCAATCAGCTCTTTTCTATTATCATTCATTGCAATGTCTAGGTTTATATATATATTTTTTGCATTTTATTTTCTTTTATTTTTCATCTGGTTAATGTTTATTGGTTTTCTATACATTATAGTAATGATCCTCTTTTTTGTTTTGGTTGTTTTAATTTTTAAATAATTTTTTTTCTGTTTCGCCTAAGTCATGTTAACTGTATTAGTGTCTATCACTAACTGCTGTGACGTCAACTGCTGTCATTTCGACGTCATGGGGTGTTTCCTTCAAACAATGCTCGAAATTCTCCGCTTTTTGGACGTGGCAAGTTCCGTTTTAAATGCTCCTTCATGTGCGTAAGACATTGCTCAGATGTTCTTAAATCCGTGATGCTTTCATCTCTGCATTTGTGGAAGTACAAAATGGATTAAATTCAGTTATCACCTCTGACTATATCATCATATTATTGCAATTGACTATTTATACTCACTTTTCTTCCTTTGATTCAACGGCTGCCAATGCATTCACCACTGCATTTAAAGCCGACTCATCGGGATTACTGATCTCATCATCTTTTTGCGACATCAGATTGGGATTTTTACCGATTTTATTCAATCTGAAACACGAATTCGAAATGCATTTTGAATTATTGGCTTTTCTTTTCTCTTGGTTTTTTGTTTTGACAAAAGTTGAATTTGAAATATATCTTAACAGTGAACATATGTACACAAAACTAATGTTTTGAATGAAAATAGAAGTCTAACCTTTCAGCAGCTACAGTTTCCATGGTTTTACGCATAAGTGGATATTGATCTAAAACGGCATTAAAGTGATCAACGCTTAAACTAAACAGGTTGCAGTATGTTTCGGCTCGTACGCTAGCCACTCTACGTGCATTGGTCAATAAGCAAATTTCGCCAAAATATGAGCCATCCGACAGTGAAGTTGCCACCTGGAATTTAGAAAAAAAAAACAAAAAAAATCGTAAATTACACATGATAATTAGAAAGTGTCATTGCTAGTGACAGACACCAGAAGACAGAGAAAGAGAGAGAGAGAGAGAGAGAGAGAGAGAGAGAAATTAATCCGAATAACCAAATTACCTCTCCGTTGGCCATTACGATATCGACAACGCCTTCTTGAATAAAATACATTTTTGTACCGATTGTGCCCTCTTTGATAATAATGTCGCTCGGTTGAAATACTTCATATTTTAATTTCGTTACAACGTCAGACACGAAATTCTGATCTGCGTTAGCAAAAAAAGGCACCGATGCTACAAGAGACCTACAAATTGCACATTGTTAATGATGTTTTTCCCCCGTCATTTTGCTTGCATGAAACATGATGTCGGTTGAATCGGTTTCGCTTGAAATTTTACACTTACCTGCAATTGTAATTGATAACGTCCTCTCGCAATTTTTCGCTTAATTCGCCTAATATACAATCTTCGTCGAAGAATTTTCCCTGGTATCTGTGTTCGAAATACTCCGTAATTCTTTGCCTCATGTCACGTGGTAATTTCCTGTAGGCCATGTATTCTTCGACTTGTTTCACCTGTATGAACACACAGATGGATATGATGCAAGATAGATTGAATTAGTTAGTTAGTTCGATAAAGGACATGAAAACGAGAAAAAAAAACAGTGGCTGGCGAGTGTGCCACTGAGTGGCATCATGTAATTAATGGGATTTTTTGAGTGTGTGTGTGTGTTTTTTTTTCTTCGATTAACATACCCGTTCACGATACTGCCGTCGGCTCGAATCTAAACTTTGAATTAAATTTGTCGCATGACCTAGAAAAAGTGCATAGCACGTAGCACCTGATATCATAGACAACATCGTAAGCCACATGTCAGTTAATGATTGTGGTGGAAATCTGTGGAATATTCGCCGAGAAAAGAGAGCGAATAAAGTCGATAGAATAGGGTGATGAATGTACCGTTAATCGCTTTCGAATTTGTTCGGCTTGTACTTTGATCATTAAATACGTGTTAATCAAGGTGCCGAAGCAAAAATCGCCGATAAATAGATAGAATTCTAGCTGAATACAAACCTTCCATAGCCAATACATAACATGTGTGACATCGCTTTGAACAAGGCCCAAGAGTACTGCTCCAGCCAATACGTTTCCTATGATGGCGAACCGATGAAGAAAAAAACATAACAAAATAATAATAAATAGATCGAAACACAAATTCGATTTATATCTTATGACATGGATAGGATACGAGCGCTAGTGATGATGGCGCCGCTAGTGTTCTTGTTGTTGTATATAATTCTTATTTGGTTTTACCTGTAGCTCATTGATGGCAACCCAAGAGTTCGATGGAAAGCCTTGTAACATCGGAACCAGAAACTGCAAACATCCACTCCAATGACCAATTAACAGCATCATACAAATTAAATTAAATATCCGCATAAACACCGATGCCATATTCAAAAACTGCATCAGAGGGAGAAAAAGAAACAGAGAGAGAGAGAGAGAAAGAGAGAGAAAGAGAAAGGAAAAAATAGAGAATAAAAACAAAAACAAAAATACAGAAAAAATGAGAAAACATTTCAAATCATCGCTGTTTTTTTTTTTCATAACAAGAATGTGTGCATGAAAATTAATTTATTTTGTCAATATTTCGCGTGTATTTGTGAGAGCGATAGATATTCAATATCCTTCACATATTTTTGTCGGTATATATAGCAACAAAATAGTAGTACAAAAAACAAAAATGCAACATCTTTTAAACGCTCTTATGGACAAACACACGGATACATTAGTTTTACCATATTGTATAACACTAAATCAATCCTATGTTAGCAAATCAGAGATAAAAATGTTTAAAAACGAAAAATGAAATTTGGCTAGCATTTTTTATTTAGTGAAAATGGATCCAAAAAGCAATTCCAAGCACCAAAGAGACAGAGAGAAGAGATTATGCTATATTCTTGTAATACAATGGTTTTGGCTGCGTTTTGGAAAGGAAAATTCGACGCAGAGCTGCTCCATTTCTTCCGTCTACATTTGGTGTTTCGAATTGGTTCATTTATCCAATATTCCCTTAATTATGCCAGTTTGAGTGGCTAAACTATGAAAATCCCATCGAGAGTCCGAATAATCGTCATAATAATTATAATTGAATTATTGATCAATGTCGGCTTTTAATTCGGATCCGAAAAATTGTCCTTCATATATTATTGTTTCGGTTTTGTTTTGGTATTTTTTTTGTTTTGAAAAGATACAGATAGTGAAATAGATAGACCAGATCGGATGCTCGATGCTATCCCGAAACGACTAAAATCGTTAATTATGCAGATGTAATTCAATTTCACCAGATTGCTGTCAAGTGTATTTTCCTTGGTCAATTATTCAGGATGAGCATTTTTACACTCACCCCAAACACATATTGGATCCAATGGCCAATTTAATCTAACGAAAAAGCCACACAACTCGTAAAATCGTGACAATTTGACATGCAACCATTAATTTGTGTTTTGATTTTTATTTGTTTAAATCCGTAATAAAGAGCTAGGATTTGGGATAGATTTCAGTCGCTATAACCGACAGTAAAAATCATCCGTATTTCACAAAAGTATATTTCGATTGCATTCAAATATCAAATTAAGAATCGATCAAGAAATAGAGTGACATGACATTCTAAAAGAGGGTTTAAATAGGTGTTCTCCTTTCAAAATTCTTTAACATTTGTGAACTATGTTTGTTTGGTGTTTTTTTCTTCTGTGGTTCAATATTTTTGTGCTGATTTAGTAAATGCATCGGTTATTGATTTTGTTTTTTTGCTTTTTGGAAAGGTAATAATTAATTCATTCGATTCAGTCCTTGATTTTTTCCATCCAAGAACTGACTCTCACAAAAACATTGAGCTTTGATTTACTGGTTTGTTTTTTTTTGTTGTTGTTGTTGATGTGATTGAATTGGTATTCTACAAGTAATTGTTCTCTAATAATACTGTGACATTTAACGCAAACACTTTGCGGCGTGCAGCTATAACGATCGAGCGAACTAAGACACCTATATATTCTATGGACGAAAAAGAAGTTCTTCAACTGAAATTAAACAAGGAGAATCATGTCAAAGAACAGAACAATGAAAAAAAAAAAAACAAATACAACGAATTTAAATGAAGAAACCGAAAATTTCAAAGAAAATGAAAACAAAACAAAAACAACATATCGTATGGTGTGTCATGTGTAATTTTTTATACAGTGTGGTTTCGATTGCGTTCACATTATGGTTTTGCATTAGCAAAATACATCTGAATCGCATTGACTCCAAATGGAAGCTAAATAATATATGTCTGTGATTTGAGAACAGAAGTGCCTATCTTATCAACGTCTCTTCTAATTCTGGAAAAGACGTAAGTTTATGCGAAGATTATGTGTGCGCTATTTTTTTGTTATTTCATCGTAACTAAAATAAAAGCCATAGTTTTGTTGTTGTTGTTGTGAAGAAGAAGTGATCGCAAAAATCTGAGCCTAATTTATTTGGAAGGCATAAAAATAAATTAAATTTTTTTTTGTAAATATTTGGAATTGAATTGCAAATGATGGTTTCATTTTTTTTTTTTTTCAAATTGACTTGGTAAGCGAATGACAAGCGATAAGAACAGGACCCATACAAAAATGATTCGTTTGAGAGAAAGAGAGTAAAAGAGAAAATGGTAAACGAAATGGAAGCAACGGCAAACAGGCCACAATGATGGGAAATAGATGAAGAATACATTTGAAAATATATTCGAAGAAAAAGAGAGAGAGTGAAAAATAAAATCGGTAGCGAGACTGAGTGAGAGCAATGCGATGCGGGGGGAGTAATACGCACAAAAATCGAAATAAAGAAATATTATAATTAATCAAAAGACAAAGCAATAAATCCTTGCAGTAAAAAGGGGGATGCGTTCATGATGAGAATCAGTGTGTCACGATGGTGGTGTCGAAAGGGATAGGCATTTCGACTGGCAGGCATTATTCAAACTCTATGTCTACGTGAGTTGCATCACCAAAATCCATCTGCACCGAAATGCCACCTCGCACACATATATCGTATAAATGTGAATATGTGGTCTTCGGTGAACATATGACAGAACAAATGAATATTGATATGTCTTTATTATAGTATGACGTTTTGAGGTAAAAGTAGAAAAGATGTTCCTATTCATGAATATAAAATATATATGTATATATACACAGTGAAACCAAAAACCATTTAAAAACGTATAGCAAAAATCTAACAGATGAGCTGAAACAATATGATCGAATATGAAACGAGATAGAATAAATGATCAGCAAGCATCGGAAGCAGCAACAGCAGTAGAGCATTTGAATTCTTATTTTGTATTATTTATTTATAATCCATTACTTTGTTATAAAACAGAAACTCAACGAAAATAATGAGCATAAGAAGCGTTTTTTTTTTTTTAACTGCGTACACAGGAGAAAAGTTTACCTTAAAGATAAGATTCTTAGAGTAACCGTCTTTTTCATTTTCATTTCTATGTCTTCGTCCTCGGCGATCTGCACTTTTTTTTTGTAGATTTTGTAGAATCTAAAACGTACGTACGGGTGTGGTTTGTTTTATATATTTGATGCATTGGATAATATAAGTGTTTTTAGCTATTATTTTGTTGTTTTTGTTGTTATTGTTGTATGTGTGTATGAGGTAAGTTTGAATTTGCTGTTGTTGATCATAATTTTTTTTTTTTTTTTTTTTTTTTTTTTGTTGATTTTATGTTTTGTTGAATTAGCGATTTTGTTAAAGGAGAGAAGAGAATTGTTGTTTTGTTGATTGGTCACTAACAGTTTTTTTTTTATGTCATTCTCAACTCCAACGATTCGATCCAATTGTGTGATTGATAAATAAAAACTTTCCTATCTCAAATAAAAGAAATGAAAAATCTAATTGTTGCATTTTGGAAGTTTTTTCTGCCATTTTTTTTTCTCTCTAGTGTTCCTTTTATTTGGAACAAATTGTAAATGGCCGATCAATCCTTTGACAGAAGAAAATGCTATGATTTGTGATCGATGATGAAGAAGACATCCTGTCGATAGGGGAACGTATATTTCGTGTAAATTCGGAATTTGTCTTGCTTAGATTTTATTGATTAACTGATTGACTGACTGATTGATTGATGTGTGACGATCATAATGTGTATGTGTGTTGAGGCAATGGCTCTGTGCATGGAAGGGACATGGCTATATCGAATGAATCTTCTAAACTAATCTCGAAATGGTATCATCAAACAACAACCCACTGTACGATACACAAATATACCTATAACATTATATATATTACTTCGGTGCAATCGCTTTGTCGATTGCGTGGTAGTGTTGGTAGGCTATGGACGCCATGAATCCCTAAACGTCTGTAGTACATGAACAAAACTTAAATGTGAATGAAACAAATATGTTTTCACGTCTTTCGTGCAACTTGATTTATGTGATTTGCTGTTATTTCTCTGTTGTTAAATGAATTCCACAATATGAATGTGTCACGAAAACTAAGTGGCAAAACAAGGATACGTGCATTTGGATTAATTTTTTTTTTTCAAGTCCAATGTTAACAGATGATGAACAACTGAATGCCAGAGAAAATGTGAATTCGGTTTGGAATTGCCACATGCTAGTGTATTTGGGGTTTTCCCTGATTCTTTTTCTTTTTATTTGAAAATACTAGTTCTTGTTTGTTGTTGTTGTTGTTGTTGTTATCGTTGTCCATGCTGTATTTAAATTTGCATGATTTTCAAATGTGACGTAATTGAGTACGCTGCATTCGGGCCACGTTTGAATATTTTAAACCCTGTTTCAAGAAGAAGAAAAAAAGCATATACACACAACAATACTTGGGAACCGAAAACGCGCCGTTGTGTGTTGGCCATATGCACAAAACAGTGCACTGAAATTTTCATTAATTCACCACAGTGTGTTTGGTAGGTATGTGTGTTTGTTTGTGTATTTCGTTGATTAGACATAGCAAAAAAATGAAAAACGGCTTTCTCGTTTGTATGTATATATTAAATATAAATTTACAACAAAAATATGTCTGTGTAGTTGTGTATGTGCATAAAAATCACTTTAAAAACCACATGAAGCAAATGGAACAAAAATATAACAATTTTCAAATAAGTGAAAATGAATGGAAAATTAAATATGAAAATGAAAATCGCAATCAAGCCATATGTACTCGGTAAATTTACTCCGAAAATTAATATTCGTGAAAAAAAATAGAGAGAAATGGATTGAGGAAGAAAAAAAAATTTCAAGTTATTTACGTATTATTATTATTATTATTATTTTCTCAGTTATTCGGGCAATGCCGCAAATATGGGGACCAAAGCATTCGCATTTTTACGGGTTTATTTGGGAGAAATAATTTTGAGCTTTACATGTGGGTATATCAAAAATATGTGCGGATGCCAAAACAAGAGAGAACAACTCTCCGTTAGAAGGTGAAAAATTTGAACTTTGCAATCAAAGGAATTTAACCCAAAATCTGGCCATAAATACTGTTATTGTTGGTGTTGTTGCTTTAAATACATTTACCATTTTTCGAATGCTTAGTGTTTATTTTTTACTTTTCATTTCTTTTGATAAACAAATTGGAAATACGGGAAAATATCAATTTGTGCACCAGAATGATAGTACAATTATTATTATTAAATAACAAGTTCACGCAATTTTATGGAAAATATTACTATAAATAAGGCGCTGTCTCTCACACACGCGACACATCCGATGGCGTTGTGCAAAGAACATTCCAAACACACTAAACCACCACCAGCGTCATTCATGTATACATTTCATATGACCAACACTATAGTATTGCTGTGCTTTCATTAAATTCAATTCAATGACGGCCGTAATATTTTCGATTTTTATTTTCAATAACATCGTTCTTCTTGTGACACTAGAGGCTACTCGCACTTTTATAAATGACAACTTATAACCAATAAATATGAGTTCATACAAATATCGCACCAAAATTGTCTAAACACACAAATGCCTACGATTTCAAACTCTTTTACACCACTTTTGTCATGCATGTTTTTTTTTTTTTCACAAAATACTGGAAGTGAGTTTTGGTGGATCCTCAGGATCGTTTAGAACTGCTCCCTGTTCTGGAAATGAATCCTCAGGATGGACCAGGGCATTGTCGAAACCGATGTGATACATCCTGAGGATCCACCCAAACCAGTATTTTTGAAAAAAAAAAAAAAACATGCATGACAAAATGGTCAAAAGTGGTGTAAAAGTGTTTGAAATCGTAGGCATTTGTGTGTTTAGACAATTTTGGTGCGATATTTGTATGAAATCATATTTATTGGTTATAAGTTGTCATTTAAAAAAGTGCCGTTAGCCCCTAGGTATGATACCACTATTCACTTTTCATGCAGTCTCTTTTTTTTCCAAACCATAAAATTTTGCGACATAAAATAAAGAGGAGTCGATTTTTTAATAGTTTGCAATGATCGGAACGGAAAAGAAAAATCATTTATATATTAGATTTTCTTCGAATTCAATTGAGTTTTGAGAAGATAATTCCGTAAGACAACATAAAATATTGAATAATGTCCTTGATTCATTCATTAATATTTTATTACTACCGTAATAGAATAATGGTTAATTCAATTGAAATTGAATGCAAGGCGTTACCGAATAATTTGTTTCCACTCGAGGTTCAGTTTGTTTGGCTTTTTGATATTTTCAGCTCAACACCTGAATGTTTCACGCATGTAATTTTTTTTTTTTTTTTTTTTTGCAAGGACAGTGTCGGTGGAATTTATATTTTGAAGAAAAAAATCAAGACAAATATGAATTTGATTTGATTGGGCAAAAAAAATGTACAAATAACAAACATTGTGAAAGATATATTTAGAATGTCAAAATGGAGAAGAGACTTTGTATTGGATGTGCATAAACAATTTAAGGTAAACTTTTTATTTTTTTTTTTTATAATATTTTTTTCTCAAATTTTTACGACGTACAACATATAGAAAATCTAGACGAAATCAAGTAGATATATTCTTATTACAAGTAAACAATAATACACATGAGAATACGAAAAAATATCGGACACAATCGTTTCCACATTTAAAGAAATCAAATCGAAATGACGAAAATAAAATAGTGGGGAATTAAAAACGGGAAAATGAACCGAAGATGAAGAAAAGCCGTAGAGATGCAATGCAATAATAGCAACAAAAAAAATGAGATGTAAGTGGTTTTTTTTTTGCTCGGTTTATCGTTGCACTCAATTCGTCTTGATGCATGTCAAAAATACACAAATTTCGTGTGTAGCAATAAGACTTAAGCTAACGAAACGTAATGGCAAATGAGCTTTTCTGCACTTCAACACACATACACAAGCGCTGCTTAAGTGCATTAAATATACAAACACATTGGATGCATTTTGATATTTGTTCGCTGCAAGGAAATAATAGTCAATAAGTTCAATTTGGTCCATGTAGTTTGTTCGTTTTTCCTTCTCTTTACTTATTTCTTCACAAATTTCTCGCCCGCTATGCTTCTTCTTTCACGCTTCTGTGCAGAATGTGCACATTAAAAAGATATTTCTATTTTCCTTTTTTTTTTTCTCATTTTTTTTTTTATTGAAATAGCTTATTAAGCTTGCTCGTTCCTAACACATAATTATCGCCATAGTGGTTGTTATTCTGGTTTCTTCGCTGAGGCTGTGGAAATCATATGAATTGTGAAGGAAAGTATGCAAGAAAGAAAATTGAGCGGAATATTTCACGAAGAAGGCGAAAGGAAAAATGATTGAGAAGCACCATTAACATGGGAAATGGCATAGGTTTTCGGGTTACACACAGCCACATACACACAAGCGCGAAGAAGAAACAGAACCAGTAATAGAAGCAGCAGCAGAAATAGCAGTAGCTTCATGATAAAATATAGAGATTCATTTATCTCAGGCGAAGCATAGTTGATCGTGTGTTTCGTGGAGCGTATTGGGAAATCGGAGTGTCGTGGGCGACTCGAAACCGTTTCTCTGGCACACATTAGCACACATTCACACAGTATTGTGTCATTACATCGCATCGGAGCTTGCATAACGGAAAGGAAAAAGTGAAACATTTTAGCTATTATGTAGCTATGCATGAATGAATGAATGTGCTCAGCACAATGTGATGTGGTGTAGGTGAGTCCAATGAGAACGAGAGACTCACCAACCGAAAGAAAAAATACGAACACAAAATAGAAGAAGAGTACACACCAAAAAAAAAAAAAAACCTCGAGTGAGTATCGGTACAGTTGTGTGCAGGCGAGTGAGAGAGAGATGGTGTGAGTGCGACCGATAAACGGAGCGAAAGAGATAAAATGAGAAAGAGCAAAAGAATGGCTGCTGTTTGTTACATAATCCATAGCATGCACAGACCGAAAATCGATTTCCATATTTGCATAAAAGGAAAATTGCACTGTATGTTATTTTCTGCAATTGCAATCCACAGCCATGCACAGGCCCGCACGGACCGCACTCATACCGACAGAGCTATGTCGTGAGAGCGGGAGCGAAAATGGGCGAACGAGCGAACATGAGAGAGTGAACGAGAAGGAGAAGGAAAATAAGCAAAAGAAGAAGCAGAGCTTTCGCTTTTGTTTGGGCTTCCGATGTGCTCAAATGCACAAACAGATGTAAATGTACAATAAATACATCACATCCATGTGCATCGGTGCACTGTAGTCAACAGCTGTACTACACAACTACATAACAAATACAAATATCCTCGATATCATTGCACTATGTTCAAATTCGTGTCGAACATCTTGTACAACACAAGGTTGCCATTCAATTTTCTGTTGGCAAAAATTCATGTTCGCAGACTCCATGTGTGTTAGAAAGAATGTTGCTTCATTTCTCGCCCCCTTTTTTATTGTCCGGTCTTATCGTGTTCTTTTTTCATCGACCGATTATTATTTCGTTCTTGCACCCGGGCTTATAATAAGCCCATCACATGAATATCGAATCGATGCAATTCGTCGGAGTGTGTGGTATTTGCAATTGTTGCCCGGTCGCTTATTTCATACAAATACGCTTTTGAGTCATTGAGCCAAATTGATTAGGCTCTCTATAATTTAAAATAGTTTGAAATGGAAGTTTTGAATAGACAAAGCTCCAAACAAATATCACTAGTTGCATCATCTACTTTCAAAACAATGCACAAATGGGGCTTGCTCTCTTTCTCTCACTCTCTCACTATCTCTCTCGCTCTCTATTGATACCATGAAGTGAAGCTGTGTATTGTCAACAATGAGCATTCCATTTGCCATTTTCACTTTTAATAACATTAGCACACAGCCCCGAAAATCAATAGCACACGAACACGAGCACAACACGGATACAAAAACCGCCACTCATTCATTCGCACGAGTGTTTGTGCACTGCCTTGCGATGTTCGATTGGAATTGGTGTGAGCAAAGTGAAAATAACGAGACAGAAAGACAGAGGCAGAGAGAATGTGATGAAGAGAGCAGGCAAACAGGAGCGAGAATATGCCAAGAATACAATAAAATATTCGCAAGAAGCAATAAAATTATAGTAGAAGCAAAGATCGATCGAGAAAATGCACTATAAATGTCAGCGAATATAGAGCAAATATAACAAGTGCACTTGCACAAAATTTAGCATACACCGAACAGCTGATAATGGTAAAGTGCCTTGCAGGCATTGAAATTGCAATCGCACGGAAAATGGTGAGCATCTAGGTTGGAGTCATTTTGCCTTAATTTCACTTTTGTTTTCGGTTCGGGGGGCATGAGCAGCGCTTGCATACGTGTGTGTGCGAGAGAGAGAGAGAGAGAGATATATATAGAGAGAGAGTGTGTGCGAGTTAGAGCGGGAACGAAAGAACGGAAAACTAAAATATATGCCGGATATGTTGGCATTTATTTGTCTATGCAAAACAGTTATTTGCACACTGATTTTGTGTATACATTGATCACGGAAAATGAAAATTGACGAAAACGTTTCGAATGAGAAAGTAAATCAAATTGTTTGACTAGATTTTTTTTGTTCGTCAACAAACTGATGGCTATGGCGAATGAAAACTATATTTTGAGGCATGAACATTATCATTATCATTATTATTATGCTGGCAGGTAAAATTTCAAGTCATTTGAATGGTGTTGTAATTCGATTTTCGATTGTGGATAATTGGATGGAAATAGTTGTCAGTGTGAAGAATAAGAAATCACACGAATGGAATGCAAACGAAAAGAAAGGCTTTGTATCAGAAGTGATAAAAGAAAAAAAAATGGAACGAAAAAATATGGAACAAATTTGTCGTGGGAGATAAACCGAAGCGAAAAAAACCAACATAAAAATTACCATGAATCACATAAATACGAGATGTGTTAAATTCTATGCAGGACCATTTGTTTTTCTCAGGGAGTGTAACTCCGAGGAGGAGGAATGGTGAGGAGGTGAATGAGGAGGAGGAGAGCGCTGAGGAGGTTCCTCCTCCTCACATGAGGAGGAAATGAAAATTACCAAAATTGAGGCATATTAATTTATTTTAAACACTTTTATTGATTTGGAACGGATGCCAACGATAAAAAACTACGATCAACATCAATAGAAGTGTTTAAAATAAATTTATATGCCTCAATTTTGGTAATTTTTATTTCCTCCTCATGTGAGGAGGAGGAACCTCCTCAGCGCTCTCCTCCTCCTCATTCACCTCCTCACCATTCCTCCTCCTCGGAGTTACACTCCCTGGTTTTTCTTACTATTCACTGTTTCAATCAATGCATGTTAAATATTATTTTGTCTCTGCGAAAACGATCTTATTGTTTGCATTGAGAACATTTATGAAGAATTACAATAAAGAAACAAACAGAGAAAAAATTACAGTAGAGAAAAAAATGGAAAAACGGGGGGAATCGAGAGGAGTTAAAAACAAACAAAAAGGAAACAAATCGTGTCAACCGTTAACATTTCAATTGATGATAAAACAAATCGCTCAATGTATCAGAAAAGAAGAAAAAAAAAAACTAAAAAAAAAAAACAAGTCGCAAAAAAGTAAAGAAAAACATTTCGTACCAAACATTTGGTTTGGCCCGAAACGACGAGAGATTAAACATGAATGCAGTCTTATCGATCGGGTACTTACATAAACTTCTTCCCATTGGGAAACATATCGCACTAAACGTGAAAGCCGAAGCAGCCTCACCAATGATAAAAGCTTAGCTAGTCTTAGAATGCGTAAAGCTCGGCCAGCGTGTAAAATTTGAAATGAATCGGAAAAATCCTGTGTGTGAAAAACGAAACAGAAAAAAAAACGAGAAAATAGAAAAAGAGAACAAAAAAAAACATACACAAAAAATATTAAATCCGAATCAAAGAGTTGTTTTAACATTTGGTAAAAACAGGCAAACAACAACGTAGAGAGAGAAATGGGTTGAAAATAGGTTTACCAAATGAATTTTATCACTTCGACTGGATTGAAAAGTACTCACCTGATTAAAAATTAAAAATATGTAATCTAACGGTATTGATGATATAAGGTCTAGGAAAAACCATGTCTTCAGATAGTTTTTCGCAATTAATTTTGGATCCAATATTACTTGTTCCGCGTTATCTTGTTGCATGATTCCTGTTTATTGGCGTTGTTGTTGTTGTTGATGATGATGATGATGATGATGATGTTGTTTCATAATCGATGTTTCATTTGGAAATGAGAGAACAGCCAAAGGCGAATGTAAATTTAATTAAATGAAAATGAATACGAATTTGAGTGACAAATAGTTGAGAATTTGATTGATGCATTGGCGTTTCAGGATAAACTACCACAAATTGCACAACGAATGGCATCGAGCCGAAGTGAGTCATTGACAAGTTGAGCAATGGTCCTTCGCGGATGCATCAATCAAATCAGATAGAGAGAGAAAGAGAGAGCAGTGAATAAACATCGACAACGAAAATAACAACAACTGAATAAATGAAAAAAAAAAAACGAGTACAGAACAGAACTGAACAAGAACCAGTGAGATAGAAAAAAAAGAAGAGAAAAATAGACAATTCAATTGCAATGATAAATTTACCTGTTCGAAAATTAACAACTATATCAATTAAAAATATAGTATCACTCAGGCAATTGAATGCAATCCATCTTGTGCTCAAATCATCATTGAAAAAGGATATTGCGACTGGAAGTATAATTAAATTGGCAACTAACAACAGTAGCATACACAAGTCCCAGTAGAATCTGTTCGGCATTCGAATAAATAGAAATGCACCACGGAATAAATCAGTATGTTGTCGTTAGTCATCGTTGTTGTAGTCGGTCGTCATATACACACACACACACACACACATAGAGAGAGAGAGAGAGAGAGGGAGAGACAGAGAGATAGGCCAGGGTTGCGGGAGAGCATCGACAGCAATGGTGGCGGTGATGGTGAAGGCGGCGGCAGCAAATCCATCAAGTTAGATTTTTGACGATGAAAATATGTTTGGAATGAGAGTATCATAGTGGAAAAATCCATTGCAAATGGAAAGAGAAAAACAAGCATCATTAACAAATTGTTATAGAATTTAATATAAATCTCTGGCATAAATTTATGTACATTATGTGGTATGGCAGAAATATGTATATGTGGGGCACACAATATTCGGTGAACTGGATTCAGTTTGTCATTTTCATTTAATGCAGTGTGTTCGAGAATGCATCTCAGTCAATGCTATTTTATGTGTCAATTAACAAGGGAAATGAAATGCAATGGAGAGAGTGCACACAAACATTGGTAAATAAATTTATATATATGGAAATTCACATTGAATGTGGATATAATCACATATATACATATATAATATCTTTCAATATTATTTTTTTCCTATATTTCTTCTGAAGAAGAACGGATGAGAGGTTGTGCAGTATAGATTGATAAAATCGGGTGGTAAAGTTAAGTATAATTTGGGTTAGTGAAGGATATTTCACCAATTTCCATCCGAACATCCATTGTTGGTATTCTGCAGTATTTTATCGTGTAGGGCTTTTTGTGTGACGTACTTCAAATAAAAACATAATGCGAATACATTCATTCGAGTGTTTCGCAATAATTGCAGAATGTGTTTTTTTTTTTCATTCTGTTTTGCTATGTCTGTTTATATGTGTGTCTCAATCTCATAGTGTTTCTGATTTTGATAGGATGCAGAATGTTGACGGTTTTTCGGGTTTTTTGATTGTCATATCTAATGGCACTTGAAGCTGAAATAAGTTGGTGCATTAACCCAATTCCAACGAAGGATAAAGAAAAACCAAACAAAATTGACGTGACCATGTGAATCTTCGAATTTCAATCACAGATGAGTTACAACATAATTTCATTACTATGCAATGACATGACTTTTGCCTCGATTGGAGGCTATTTATACTTTTCGACGCCACTTTATACCCACTCAAAACGGATGCTGCAATAAACTAATTGTTAAAAGTGTCTTTTGTGAATGACGATATAAACAGAGACAGAAAGAGAGAGAGAGAGAGAGAGAGAGAGTGACTGAAACGATTTGTATGGCCGCCGACAAATAAATGAATCGAAATCCATTTGCGGCAGCATTTGGCTAATAAATCAACCAATTTTGGAATTCGATCCGATGTCACTCTGCCAATGATGTAGATGACACGTAGCAATTTTACAATCTTGGAATACGAAATACGGAATATCGATAATTACATTGGATATGGAAAGAGTACCCGTCTCAACTATCCCATTTGTCTATGTGCTTTTTAGCACTACATGGAATGTAGGCTACTGTAGTGATTTTTTTTCTACGAGAAATTTTTAAGACTCTTTCGGCCATTTTTTTTGACCGTAAACTAATTCATTTTAATATCCATATTTTTTATTTCAAATATTCAACGTAATTCAATTATGGAATAACTCAAAAAAAAAAAATTGACACTTTTTTCGTTTCCAATGTGAAATAATGTATGATGACCGTTCACATTGAACGTACATTAAAACAATGATTGAAGAATACAATTTTATCATATAATTTTTTTAAATTATTGTTAACAATATTATAATGATTTATTACAAAAACTTGTGAAACAGACATTTCCAACTTCACCCAGTTAACTTTGTCGTCTTCAGAAAATATTACGTCCATTGAACAAAAAGTATACTATCATTAAATCTACATTCCATGTAGTGCTTACGATAATAATTTAATGTGAAACATCAAATTAATTAAATTTACAAGCTTCAAGAACGCGAAGCGACGATCTGCGGTCTTGTTTTCTAGCTACGTTGGGTTTTGGTTTTTGTTTTTGGTTTGAACATTCATAATGCTTTAATCGATGTGAACAATGTGCGATTCAATAAAAACGACACATGATTAAATATTTTTGACGCTATAAACAATGCTGGTGACATCGAAATATTTATCGATATAATCGAACAACCACATGGCAAGAATATTTGGCACTCTCTGTCTCATTCTCCAGTTAGACAGTCAGAGAGAAGGTGAACCAGAGAGACAGTGCACAGTGAGAGAGACAGTATGTTATGAATTGTTTTATATTTAATTATTATTCTATTTAAACAACATCAATACATCGTCTGTTATAATGCATATTCTATTGGAGTTTTGTGAACGTCATTCGGAATTGACTGCGTACATTTCGTCTGCTCATGAATTTTTGATAAAATATTGTAAATACATGCTTATGACGTCGCAGTTCAGCATGTAGATAAGACAGAAAAACGGGTTATGAAAACGAGATAAATAACAAATATTAAAAACGAATAATACATTAAATGTAGAAATTTCGCTTGGTAATCGCGTGGTAATGGGTCTTGTGACCGATCAAATCCGATGTGACATTTCCACTTCACAACATTTTTTCCATTCATTTTTTTTTTGTTCTCTTGCTGTGCCCCCCCTCTCTCTCTCTCTCTTTCGATTTCGTTTCAGCTCTCATTGAGCGAACATACCCCATTCATTTTTTGTACATTTTTGCGCAGGCACTGATATGTTCGTATGTTCGGAATTCGAATTGTAAACATAAAATGTTGTTCAGACGTGCATACATAATTCGCAATGACACGTGTCACAAATCAAAATTTTTAATTGTTCTGTAGCTAAAAGCCAGCCAGTTGAACAGTTGATGAACTCATATTTGTTCGCAATGAGGGAAAGAGAGTGACAAATGCGACATAGACCAAGAGCAAACGGGAAGTTGTATGTGTTCAAGACTCGATAGAATATTTCGATGATGCTATCTGCAAATGAAATAAACTGGCTCAGTGGGTAGTCCAATTAGTAAAACGTCATTGAAAATTGTTGTATATGATAAAAAAATCAAGTTGAAATAATCGTCGAAGCGTGTGGGTCGGTCGATGTTCGTTTTAGCTGATTAGCGTTTTAGCGTTTGAACAATTTAAAACAATTTCATAAACCGCTAATCGACCGTTGGCCAACACATAAAATTGGAAACTAATTCCATGCGAACCAAATGCCAGTGCCTTGTGAGAAGTGAGTTTTTTTTTTATTGGCCCTCTAGCAAATCAATTTATAACAGCTCATCGAAATCAATTCCATCTCTCTCGCTCTTGTTCTCTCTCGTTCTCTCCTTTGTTCGGTCGGTCGGTTGTCATCTCAAAGCCGAAACTTCCGTCGCTTCATTTGCCATTGCATTCTAAGCAATACTAAAATGTATCGATTGCGTGATAAATTTGCGGAAAACAATTCAATAGTTAGAGTCATTATCGTGAATGCATTCAATTCAAAGTGACATAAAAATTTGAATGCTAAACGATGATATACATATAAGAGGAGAAAAAAAACTATTATTTTTTTTTCGTAATGAAGCGAGAGCTGTTTATGGCATGTTCGTTGCGGTTCGTGTTCTCAGCACAAGTAAATGCGTATTATTTAATTGCATTTTAATTGTTTGATTTGGTTCTGCAGTGTGTACAAAACAATTTATACTCATTGCAGTTGGGCTTTGAGCATTCTTCTTCGTTATAAATTAAGATGCTTCGGCTCATTCGCTCTACGCTTCGGTTTGCTCTCCCCTCCGTTTTCTTTCCTCTACAGCGAAAATGTGAGTACAGCCAAGAATTATCTTGGTAAATATGGCTTAATGAAATTGCCGTAAATACTTCCGACAAAATGAACATACACAGGCATCTAGGTATTTTCATGGCATATAACGCGACCATTCTGAATTGACTTGAGCTTAACACACATACGCTCCAAAATCCAGCTGTGAATGAGCCGAACTAGAGTGATAGAGCGCTCGCAAAGAATGTCAGTGACATAGGGGCTTAACAATAAAATATATGACTTTCTGTATGTGTAACATACGTTCGATTCGTGTGCATACATTTTCAAGTCTCGTTATTGACATTGGACAGAGGACAAGCGAACGAGAGACGCAAAGCGAAGAGAGAAAAAAAAATCAAATAGACTTTAATCTTTTAGTACTAATTAATGTATTTCAAGACAAAACAGACTTGATAGCATACAAATTGAAACAAAAACAATCGGTGGAGATGGAAGAGAACATACGCGTAATGATGTGAATCCAATACGTTCAATAACTATGTTTTTGTTATCACATCAAGGGAATGAGTGAGAGAGAGAGAGAGAAGCGAGAGAATTTCAGGAAGTTCAGAACACGCAAAAGCAAAAAAGAAAAATTTGCTAAATCAAAAGCGTTTCCGTTCAATTAAGTTTCGAGTTCCTTTTTTTGCGCTCAGAAATTAAACTAATTTGAAATTGAATTTATTTCTGAGCGTAGATTCTTAATGACTTCAAAATCCAGATGATTTGTATTCTCGGACACACATGCTAAATGAATGAATGGCAGCCAAACATTTGAGCCTTGTATATATATATAGTGAGCGTCAAAAGTTTTGGCACAGTTAGTTTTTTCAGTTTTTATATATATTTATTGTTGTTTTAACAAAATTTCTTTTATGGTTTTATGAAACAAGTAGAAATATATAAATTCATAATCTTTTTTTCGAATTTAATTTACCGTTACTGTATTTTCGGCCAAATGGCCGCCGATTTTATTCTGCCTTAGCTTTAAATGTATTTACGTTCAAAGACGTTTCCAACATATTTCATTTTAATCAGATGGCCGGCCTTAAAAATACAGTAAAGGTGGCAAACGGACGGACAGAGGACGAACATTTCGTGTACGTCCGTCCTTTTATTGATTTGGGGCAAACGGACATTTGTCCTAATGTCCCATTTCAAATTGGGACAAACGGACAAATTTTTAAAATGACTTATGTAACTTCATTTAACTAATGAAAACAAAAATTGAGTACCATTCGATACTGGCTGCATATGTATTGAGAATTTTGGTTTCCATTAGTTAAATGAAGCTATATAAGTCATTTTAAAAATTTGTCCGTTTGTCCCAGTTTGAAATGGGACATTAGGACAAATGTCCGTTTGTCCTAATTTGAAATGGGACATTAGGACAAGATGTCCGTTTGTCCCCATTTGAAATGGGACATTAGGACAAGATGTCCGTTTGTCCCAAATCAATAGAAGGACGGACGGACGAACAAACTTTGTCCCTTTGCCACCTTTAAAATACAGGGTGGTCAAAAACACAAAAAACCACATTTTGGCCATATGCCGGCCAGCTTCATGAATTAAGGCCATCATTAAAATGCAAAACAAAGTACCATCTTCATTTAAATGCCAAATACCGACAATTAATTATGAGATATTCAAGATTTTGACCAATTTTCCTGAAGTGTGCCATAACTTTTGACGCGTGATTTTTGATTTTTGTCATTTATCTACAGTAACGGTAAATTAAATTCGAAAAAAAGATTATGAATTTATATATTTCTACTCGTTTCATAAAACCATAAAAGAAATTTCGTTAAAACAACAATAAATATATGTAAAAACTGAAAAAAAAACTAACTGTGCCAAAACTTTTGACGCTCACTGTATATATACACACAATGTCGTCCATTTTTTCCCTCTCGGCTGTGTATGTGTTGTGTCTTCTGCCGAGTGGAAAAGAATGGAAACGATAGCATTATGCTTTCTTCCGCCGGTGATTTTTTTTTTCTCTTTCTTCGAATGAATTAGTACTATGGATGGTGAGACTAAATTATGTTAGATGTTTTTACCTGAATGAACTACACGGATGAATGACCCAATGGCCTGCAGTTTTCTGGCGTATCCGCTCCTTGACTAATGCCTTTTTGCTGCCAAATAATTTCATAGCCAACCGATTATCGGTTGGCTGAAACCATGATTGTAGCTGGTTTTTCAAAAAGTTTGACGACATTTTTTCGCTTATCGTTTGTATGTTCGGCAATAGTTCCTCCTTCGGAGTACCATACAACGAAACGTCGTCAAAATGAACCTACGATTGTATCCGAATCCATTATATCCACACGCGCACACAACCATCAAATATCCGTCGCACCAATTATGTGGGGAACAACATGAGCCGCATAAAGAGAAATGCAGAAAAAAACACACAAATACTTTAGTACAAAAAAGGTTCATTTTTGTATACATTCTTTTTGAGGCTTCATTAAAAGCATCTTTTTGCGTTCAAAAGCGATCTAAACTAAATTTTGTTGTATCCTGAGTATTTTTTCATTTTTTTTTTGTTCTTTTTAAATGGCTATATGTAATTGCCGTCGTTCTCTTCATTTTGGCCGGTTCTTTTTTTTTTTGTCGTATTTGTATATCGTTAAACAATTAAGTATTTTCAGTTGCGCATCAAGCGTAAATTTCTTTTCCATCCCGAAATAAGAAAAAAGGGAGAAAATGAAAAATATACTTCTATGCAAAGTCGTGATATTTCTTTTTGAATATTCAACACATTTTATGCAATGATTTCTCTCTTTTGCTCGACAATTTTCCGATTAAAATGCGCGGTTCCTTGGATGTGAAAGACACAAGAAAAAAAAGCAAATTCACTGTTTCTCACGCATCGCTTATTGCAATTATTCGAATTAAAATAAACACTCGGCAAGTGGCGGAATTTGTCGAGTGTGCGAGAAAAATCGTGGATCAAAAGGCTCACGAATACATACGATTGTTTACGGATAAAAAAAAAAAAAAATTTATTTCCAAGTAAAATCTTATAATTCTGGTGAAAAATCCGCGGAACGCGAAACCCGGAACTCAAACATAGAGACTATGTCACCCGATTGAACTGAGTCTCTCTGTCTCCACAAACCGAAGTGAAGAAATTTTAAACGTACAGCACCAAAAATATGTGTGAATCACACAGTCGCTCTTTTCTTTCGCGTCTCTTCATATTTCGAGCGCGAACAATTTTCAGTTTCATGAATTGGGGCATGAAAATTCAGAAGCTTCAAGAATCGACAGCGACTCGCTATTCCGCCGATACACAATTTTCCCGTCAACGAGCGAACGAACGAATTTTTGCGGGCACGAGCGCGACTAATGAAAACAGCAAAATAAATAAATAAATGAATGAAGAGGATCGCTTTATTGCTGCGAAAACAATGGTAAACATGAAATACAAGTTTTTTTTCTGGTTAGGTTTGTGACTCAGATGGTACGATTTGACTGGAAAACATTTTGTTCCGAAATATGGGCCTGAAATCGATAGAACGAACAGAATGAAGGAAAAAAGGTCGAAAGTTTGCGAGTCTGTTCTTTGATTTTATTTTTGGCAAACAATGAGAAATTACTCAAATCGATTAGTACTAGGAGTTTCATCGACGGAAAAGTAACAAATTGACGAAATGAACGGCGACGACGACGACGATTCTGGAAATGGTGGTGGTGGTAGTGGATCGCTCGCCAAATACACAAGTCACACACACACACGGCTTGATTGAAAAGAAAGATATAAAAAATGTAACACACGAAAATGCTCACTACATGCATATTCCTCACTCGTTCGTCTCTTTCATGCGGTTCCACCATTTAAGGATTTTCTGTACTGTGTTCCTCTGTTTTTTTTATTTGCTCGCTTACTTTCTTTTTTTCCGATGGAACCCGCTCACGTTCGTAAATCGTAATTGAAATTCAATAAAAAATGAAAGCACCACATATGCTCTAATCGGCAACATGTTTTACCGTCACCATTGAAACCAACCGCCACACACCGAATGCATATTGTATAATGTGAAAATACCAGCAAAATACTCTCATAAATAAATAAAATTATGAATATTTTACAAGCGATTTATATATTTTCTTCACTTATTTTGCTTCTGACTCATTTGCTATTAACTCTCTTATTTCCCTTGAATTTTTATTGAACAAAGATTTAATGAATCGTACGCTTCAGTCCTTTCTTTTCCAATTTTCAACTGCCATTCATTTGAACAAACTCTTCTTACTAGGCTTTGGTGATGAAAAATGAAGAGAAAAAAAATACTTTTTTTTTCAGCAACTGAAATACGTGAATTGCTTGAACGACATAGGCCAATTGTACCGATTTTGAAGAGAAATTTGCTGTTTCCGTGTGCAAAAGTAATCTTCGTATTGATGTACGACAAAAAGAATTTCAAATGTTTAATACACTTTGTTTTTGATTCACTGAAACACTAACGAGGGCTAAAAACGTGATTCGATCAAATGTTTTCAATTAAGTTAATACAATCATTTAATTGTGTGCAAAACATGCGATTTAGTGGAGGCTCATCCGAAGATGAGAAGACAAAAAAAACGAGACCGATTCTAAAACAAAAACGAAAACAAAATGATGAAACAATGAACCGTACACGTGAGATATTCATTTTATTTTATCGGTTTGAGTTTTTTCTACACAGACACACATGCACACACGGTGTGAGTTTGTGTGACAGGCGAACGATTTGTGGCAAAATCAAATAAAAATTTTTTAAACGAAACCAACTTTTATTTTATTCGAGGGTTGTTGTTTTACTTTTTTTCTATCCTTTCTCAGATGAGAATACCGAAGCACCTTACAATTCGAACTATGCGGTTAGTTCTTCGCTTTGCAACACGTATACACACACACACACACACACACACACACACACTCGAGCGCACTGATTGCCTGCACCGGGGAATGTGGAATCTGGTTGGAAAATGTTCAACCCCAAAAAAACATCGAAAAACTCTACATATCCAACACCGACTCGAGAGCTATTTTGCAAACGCTATGGAGTGACGGTACCTCATCTCCACACAAACATACTCACAAGTTTAATTACTATTATTGCTTTTTTCGTACTAATTTGTATTTACCATCGCCAAACAGTAGTGCTTGTGTGTCGAGAGTGATTTGGAGCTAAATGCTTGTTGTTACCGTTTAAAATATATACGGATATATAATAATGAATTGAAAAGCTGTCAAAATGGCTTGTACACGTCCAAATGAGAATTTGATTAGCAAAAATGTTTTCGGGGCGTCAGCATTTGTCTCGATTTTGGTATTGTATAAATTCACAAAGAATTAAATCAAAGCAAAACCCAGAAAATAAGACGAAAGAAGAAATGAAAAAAATGTGTATGACGTTCGTATGTCATGTGCGCCGTTGCGCATATCAAAATCACTTGAATTTTCAATCAGTTTTTGACACATCAACAACTCAAAACCACAATCGCATTGAATCTAATCAATGATGGTTAAAACACCAAATTACATTTTAACGTAGTGGGGATCCAGAACGTGTTGTGTTTCGGTGTTAGATTGAAATTCCGATTGGAAATATGTCACAAAGTGCGTTCGTCTTCTTTTTTCTCTATATTGTGACATGCCACAAAGAGAACTGAAGAAAAAGAAAACAACATATCTAGTCTTACGCCGCCCGGAAATAAAATCATTTACGATATCGTATTGAAAATGGCTAGGTATTTGATTTGAAACCGAAAAAAAAAAAAATAACAAATAAAAATTAATTCACACCAATGCATGTGTGTTAGATATTATTTTGTGTGTTAATGGTTAAGAATTAGATTAAAGAGATTAATAGACTAGTGAAAACAAACATACGTCTAAAAGTATAGTTGAAGAAGAATTATTTGAGCAGAGAAACAAGACAAGACTATATTAGTTCGAAACACGAACGAAATTAGATATAGAGATAACAAAATTAAACACACGATTTTATTTCTACGAATAGAGAAAATTGATAGAAAAAAATGCATCACACAACTAAAGAACTATTTTTATTTATTTCGGCTACAGACTACATTTTTCTCTCTTTATCGATATTAAGAAGAAATATTTATAGGAAGAAAAAATTAAACGCAAGCTTATAGATATTCATATTGAGTGATGGGCATTGAAATAGCACAACCATGGCATTTACAAACCCGTCGACACAGTTGACAAAACCAAGTGAACAACATAAACAGACAAACTTATTATAGCATTTATTGTTAAACTAAAACACCCAAAATCTCATCTAATTCTCGCACATACGATTAAGCGACACGCATTTAAGCATACACACGCACACATACTGGTCACTTGCACACGCTCATCATCACAACACGCATCTAAAGATTTTTATTTGTTTTGTTTGCTTGTCCTGAATGGCATTTGAATCGAGTATTCTATATGTTTTCCTTTTTGGGATTTCTTTTCTTTCATACTACTTCTTAGTTGTTGTTTTTTCTCTCTTTGGATTGAGGGGGCTGGTGGGGGAGGTTCACGATTTTCGATACTCTACATACGCTTTTATTTAAAGACTAAATTGTATTAGCTAGGAATAAAGTTCGTTGGTTCGTTTTTGTTTGCGATTTTGTTTTGATTTTGGTTTTTCTTGGATGATTCTCTTTCGGTTTCCGATTTGAGAATTTTTCCCTTCAACAACTCACACACAGATGATTCCGTCTCTACAGTTCGTTTGTTTGTTTGTTTTGTTTAACGCGATTTTAGTTACACATTGGAGTTTTTAGTATTTCTATGTTATGGGGTTAGTGTATGTGTGAGTGTGTTGAAGTGATTGTGTGCTACAATGTGAGGAATTTGATTGATTGATTGATTTACCTTTGTTCTTGCCATTTCGTTTGTTGCATCACATATTAACAGAGCTTCATCGTCAAGCGCTGTTACTAATGAATCTGTACAGGTGTTATCAACCGAGGATATACGTAAATCACTTTCGTTAGAATTAATAAAATTTGTACAACGAATGGAATCAGAACTAACCGTTCCTAACAATCTGAATGCACAATACATAAGTAGAATAAATATATTAAATTTTATTAATAACCAAAAAAAAAAAAAAAATATTTGATGTGATTTGGTTGTTGTTGTTGTTGTTGTTATTCTTATTACTATTGTTGGTAGGTGGATAATATGTTGATTAAGCTCAATGTTTATGGTATTAACTGATGTATATGTGTGTTTTTGTTTATGTTTTGTTGTTGTAATTATTAAATGGCTAAATGAATGGTTTTGATATATTTGGATTCAATGCTCGTCAATTAAATTTGGATTGATTTCATTTCGTTTTTGTGGAGTGATAGTAATTCTATTTGCATTTCGTTCTCGTTTGTCTTTTTCATTAGCAATAACAATAACGGCTATGATTTATGGTGAAGCACATTTAATTTTTTCTGGATGTAACAAACAGAGAGGATGATATTGCCCTATACCATTTATCAAAACAAGGATCAAATGGAATGAAATGAATAAAATAAAGAAGAGAAGCGTTTCTTGCCCGTTAAATTTTTGTCTTTTTTGCTAAACAGAAAAAAAATGATTCAACAACGTTAACAATGGAAAACGGTACACAGAACGAACAGAGAACAAAAAAAGCAAACCGAAATCAAGTAGATTTTCCGGAATAGAGAGAGACACACACAGAGTGGAAGAAGAAAAAACGTGTTAAGGTATTCATCGAATTATGCAAATTATGCACAGCCTAAGAATCTAAAATGTAATCTATTATTTGTTGTTGTTCAGAACAAGACTCAGCCCCACGCACGCACAATGTACTAAATAATTCGAAAATGGTCGATAAACGCATTCATTCCCCCCATCGCATATTTTCTAAATATATTGCTGATTAGGATTTCGATATTTATTTATTTTTTTTTTTTTCATTGTGAGAAAGTAAAAGAGAAGTCTGATTCTCAATTGACTGACAGATTCAGATAAATATCTTGGACTCGTTTAAATTCGTTTGAAAACGTAGAATATAATCGGAATTAGATGAACGTGTTCATTGATAATAAATGTCAAACCGTTTATCAAACGAAACGAATAGAAAGAGAAACGCAAAGAAAGAGAGAAAAAGAAGGAGTGAAAAAGAGAAAAAGGAAAAGTCAAATTTATTATTGGAAATCTTTAGTTTAAAAAAGTACTGACGGTCAACTGTATATTGGGAATTGATGAGTGTGGAAAACTGCGCGAATAAAAACCAAATGGCACAATGTGGCCGCATCTAGAAACACAGAGAAGTAATACAAAGGCAATGCTCTATTTGACAAAAAAAAAAAAAAAGAATCTGTGTCCTAATCAATCGAATTTACAATCGAATATTTTGATTAAGACAAAGTGTGAAAGGAAGAAAAAAAAAAACAAACGAAAATACGATACAAAAACGATTGAAATCAAATATATGAGTGTGAGGAATAAATTCGACCATGTTTGCTTATGCGGGTGAATTTCAGTTGCGCATAGAATTTCATCATTTTTGCGCCTTTGACCTACAACGGGAAATTGAATTCATTCAACCAAATCCGTGGAAGAGAAAAAAATGCTGTTCTTTTTCAAATAATTAATATTATTTCATTTGTTGATTGTAGGTTTGTATGCTTCAAAAATCACGCATTCTTTTTTGAAACTGGCAAAATCGTACTCCACGCAGCAAAACAAAAAAAAAAATCAACCTCGCCTCCAAAACATAGAGAATCATAAAGAAAAAAAGTGTCGACCACGATGAAAACGGACGACGAAGATGAGGACGACGACGACAAAGGCGACGGAGACGACAATACGACGACAAAATAAAATATACGTAATGAAGAGAAGAAAAATTGGAAACGTAAAAGTGCCAATTTAACACAATACAAAAACACAACATATATGAGTTAGAAAGAGAAACAGATAGAAAAGGTATAGAAAAATAGAGAGCAAAATATATGTATATGGGTATATATATATATATATGTATATATAAAAATAGGATACGATTGTGTAAAAATAGATTCAAATGGTACGCGCATCGTACACAATATCCAATGTGGAATCAAACGAAATGAAATCAAATTAAGGACTAAAAGAACTAAATAAATAAAATTGAATTAGAGGTAGTAATTCGTATTGTTAGTACGGTAAAGCTTCTATAGATGGAATACTGGGTTAGCTATCGCTCTCTCTTTCTCACTCACTATCCGGTTTATTGAAAAGATCATGTTGTCGCTGCCGCCGATGATGATGACAACGACAATGACAACGACGACCATCGATAGCTGTATCTATTACGCTAAGACGCTGAACTGCGTCTGCTCAAAGGGCCATTCCATCTCATACAAGCTTTGCTGTACTATCATTCCATTATTATTATTATGATTATGATTATTATTGGCAAAGTGGTGATAACAGAGTAGTAGCCGAAAAAAAAAAAAAAAGAAAAAAAGGCAAACAAAAAATCGGAGCATTAAAACAAGTGTAATACGTTATTTATAAAATGAGATAGCGAAATGGAATCAATTCTGTACAATTGTGTGTATAAATACGAAAATGAAATTCCAACCCAAAAATGAACAAAGTGTGTGTGTTGTAAAACGTAACAGGAGAAATAGAGGGAAATGAAACAAAAGTCCAACAAATAAATATATATATGAAACAAGAATAAGTCAGTGATAGAGAGAAGAAGAAATATCGATCTCACCTTCCATTGGATTTATTTCGAGATAATTGTCTATTGTGCCGATTTAGACTATTGCTGTACGAATGACATTGGTAGAATGTCGCCTTTATGGGAGTTGCAATTTTCGAGCTCCTACTGTATAAAACATCGAGATAATTTAATAAATATATTCAAAATGGGATTTCCGTTTCGAAAATGAGCTCATTTTGATATGAAATAGAAATCGCTTTGTTTTCACAATTCGCAATCGCAATCGCATTCACATTTGCGTTCGCATTCCAGTCCCTTTCGAATCCTATCACATTATTCGTTTTCACTTGAAATGTTTTTATTAAATTTTATTTTCTATTCATTCCTTTTCCTTTCTTTTTCATCAATTTCCCAATTTCCCAATACGGTTTTGAATAGAAAATTAATAAAAATAGAGGGAGAGAGAGAGAGAGAGAGAAATAGAAAAAAATTCGTATTCGATTGATGGAAATGAAAAATTTCAAGAAATGAATAAAGCTGTAAAGGGCTTCGGGATCGAATTAGAATGGCGAAAAACGGTCGGAAGTCGCTTCTGTGTTGGATTGGTATTCAAAGTGTAACGATGCGAGATTTCATTTGTTGAACTGGGGTTGAACAAGTCAGACCGTAGGCCGAATTGTTCTTCCGCGTCAACAGATTGAAGGCGAGAAAGAGTGAGAGCAACGGTATTCGATTTAATTGCCCTTTGACTCTTTCCTAATTGATAGTTTTGTATCGATCCAAACAGTAGTTTATTACCTGTTGCTATTGTTGCTGCTGCAATCTGTGAATGCTCCTGAAAAGTGCACAGCGAGATACACGAACGGATTAGAAATTGTTGCGATTGGGAAGGAAGGTAGGTGGGTATGGAGTAGGAGGCAGATAAGTTGAAGAAGACGGTCAATTTTCAAATAGTCCAAAGATTGATTCCTATCGTTTTCACACATAGCCACCATTCTATGGGGGCTCTGCACTATTTTTCGACTAGATTCAATATCCGGAATATTTGAAATTGTTGCGCGAGAGGCAATTCTTCGATGCAAGCGTATTTTTTTGTTGTTAAATTTTGCGCTCACTCACTTTTAATGCTACCGAAGTGCTTAATTCCTTTGTGCTCAGATGAAGGCGGTGTGCTCGGCAACGGTGTATACGCCGTGTACGGATCCGAGTAATGCGACAACGGTCTTTTCGTATTGTTTATGCCGTTGTTTATATTATTGAAGCTGCTGCTGCTATTGTTGTTGTTGTTGTTGTTGTTGTTATTTGAATTGCTGTTTATTGTATTGTATTGAATTGAGTTTGATTGTAATACACTGTGACGAGGTCCTGAAGCCGCTGCAGCGGCCGTTGAATCATTTAGTATTAATTGATTTTGCGTTTGGGTTTGGCAGTTATTAATTTCGTTGCTTTTTGCATTATATTTATTTTTCAAATCACTATTCACTGTCGCGATTGTATTCTTTATTGACACACTGTTTTGTTGATGAGGCACTGGGTAACGAGATGCAACACCATACATCACATCACATAACATCCGAAAATATCACAATCGTATCACCAACGGACAGATTCATAGACGAACGATGACGGCGGCGGCGGTGGCGGCGACAACAGCGACAGCGACAACGACGTAACAGGACAAGAAGAAATACACGAATTATTTGGACTGAATTGATTCGATTTCAGTTTTTGTGTACAACGTTCTTTCGTTCGTTGTGAACATGCCGTGTGAACGGGCGAGAAACGAGAGATTGTGTACACTTTTGCGGAACGGCAACAGTCGAATGTTTGCCAAGGGATATCGACTATCCGTCTCCGATTCCATCGGCGAACATTTGTTTGTGTGCGAAAGCCGTTGGCGTTCCATCACAAAAGTACCACACAGAAAACTCTATGATATTGAACAAACAATTGGATATAGGATAGGATATAAAGAAGAAGAAAAAAAAAATAATACCGGTTTGAATGAATTTATCGTGTGATGCACTTGCCGCGCTGCCTAGCAGCGGATTCTTTTTCGTGGAAGATGAGGTCGATGATGATGAAGATGAGGACGAGCAAATCGGAGCTACAAAATACACACATATGCACAATAGATATTGTCGATCAGATAAACTGTTGTGTAAATTACACTCTATGTATACAACACAAACGGCTTTGCCAAGGCTCTTGGTCGGACGAAGAGCTCAATACGAAATCATTCGAATTTGTTTTTCTTTTATTCGTTTCAACGGTTTTATATTTTGGGTGAATTGCGGTCACTCACAGGAAAAACACAAAAAAGCAATGAAGAAAAAAACACACAACAATAACAAGAAAAACATCGCTCGATCGGCATCGCCGTATGATTTCGCCTGGGCACTTGAACGTTGGCCTTGGCAAATGTTGTGCCAAACATAATTTTGAATGGGTTTGTTTATTTCTTTCTTCCTTTCTTCGGTTTTTCATTTTAGCCGAGCAATTGATTCGACGAAATTCGTTTTCTTTACGAGTTCGAGTTCGAGTTGAGATTTTAATGATTTGTTTGTTTGTTTGTTTGTTGTGGGTTGATGATCACTTACCGCGTACTTGAGATGATGATGCCGATGCAGTTGTTGCTGTGTAGTCGGGTGTACAACACACTTTATCTGATTTTCTAAACTTGAACGAGATATTTCGAAATTTTTTTGGATTCACTTTGATGCGACAAAATGACGAGCTTCGCGTAAAACTTTTGAAGAACGTATTCTTTTGCACCACATGATTATTTTTCCCATTCAATTTGCTATTATTTTGCATCAAATTGTTGCATTCATTGAATTCATTGTATTTGTACAAGCAGTAATTATTATCGTTTGTTGGTTTATGAGTGTACGATGGATTTATTGTTGTCGATGTTGTTGCAATGTTTGGATTGGTTGTGCGCAAATTTGAAATACTTAAGTTACTCAAATGTTTTAAGTCGCCTGTCGGTGTTTCAATTCCATATTCTGCGGGTGGGAAAAGGTGTAGTTTTTGATCAATGATGAATGGCTTTTGTTCTTGTTCTTATGGTTGTCGATTCGGGCATGATAATCGCATCAAACTCACAACAGTTACATCGATTTGATAACGAAACACACACATAGACACACGAACAAACCGAAAACTCTCGCCTCACGCACGCACGCACGCACGCACGCATTCGCCCATTCAAATTCGTTTGTCATGCAACACATTCAACAGTTTTTGTTTGTTTGTATTCTTCTGATTCCTGGTTCGTTTTTGGATCGGTCAAAATTCACATCACTTGATCCAAATCGGAAAAGAAACACTCGTTCACACTTGTTGCCCGAAGACACACACACAGAATATGAACATTTTATTTCATCAAAGAGCCCGGCCATGTCAAAAGCCGATCCGCCGATTCGACATAACAGCGAATTTGTTATGTCAGATTTCAGAGTACTTACGTTTATGCACAGTTAACGACGCTACCGTGGGTGATGATGATTTGGTGGTCGCATCAATCACACAGCTTTCCGATAGATTTTTCTTGACTTTATTACTATCCCCGAATAGATTATGATTGTTTCGGCAATTACGATTCGTGCAACTAGTATGTATGTTGGCACTGCCAGTGCCTGCGCTGCTGGCAATCACTTCACAACTATTCGTATTCGTTATTTGTAGTAAATTTTTATCCACATAATAACAATTATTGCCACTGTCGAGGTTAACCATGGACTGACGATACTGTTTATAATCAAAGTGTAGCACATCTGAATTTTCTTCGCTGTAGTAAACATAAATAAAAACGAAAAAAAAGAGAAAAAAGAAGAAAAAGTAGAGAAAGATTGTTGAGAGTTAGTGTGAAAAGGAAAGAGCCACTGCAAAGAGACGTGGCAAAAAGAGAAGGGGAGGGCGAAAGAGAGAGAGAGATAGAGAGAGAGAGAGATAGAGAGTGAAGCAAATACGAATGACTAACGAATAAGGAACAAAATACGGATACGGTACGGAGAAAGAGAGAGAAATACACATATACAAAACGGTTTCATTTTCGATGTCATGATGTGTGTTGGTGGTGAGAGTGTACGCGCTTTTTTAGTTATTCGATTGCCACAACACAGTGAAGCAAAATATTCACGACAAAGTCGACAATAAGAAGAAATGAAAAAAATAACAGCAACAACAACAACAACAACGAAAGAAGAAATATACATATAACAAAGAATTCATAAATACAAAAACAACAACAAAACGAATTCGAACGAAAAGAAACCAACCATCTAAATGTTTAACAGTCGGTCGGTCGGTCGGTCGCACACATGCATCGAAAAGACGACAAGAAATACTCGTACAGCACAGCACGGCGCGGCATAGCACAACACAGCACAGTTCCAGTTTCAATGCTAGTTTCGGTTTGCGAGACAGAGTCAAATTTATGTATTGAATGCTTTGGGGTAACGAGGACCGCGCCAATAATACGAAAACAACAGCCACAACAAAATGAAATGCTCTTATGTTTTCTATATAGTCCCTAAGCATTGTATCACTCTGATTTATCAAGCTAAAAGAGAGCTCACAGCGTTTGTGTGTATGTTTATTCGCATGTATTCGAGTTACTATGCACACAATTGTGCTGTTTAAAAATTCACATTATTACGTTATTAATACACACATTTATTTTCTAATGGCCAGTGTATACAGTGTTGAGCTGTCGGTGCGCGACGGTACAACCGATACAAATGCCTGTGCATAATATATCTACCTAAATATGTCGCCACAGCAGGGCGGCAAACACTTTGGCGGCTGGAAATTGATAAAAACAACTGAACAAGAAAAACAAAAAACATCGAACAAATGAACATGTGCTTGTTGCTATAAACCATGTTCAACGTGTCGTCTTGTTTCAGCACACACACACACACACACACACACACAGATACCGTGCGCGCATTCAGTTGTGTCCAAACTCTAACAGTCTCAAATAGTCGGAACTGTGAACTCTGGTTTGAATCACTTCGTATTCTGTGTGGCATTGCGATGGCGTGCTTAGAAATGCTGACAGTCGGTCGTGCGGCGTTTTTTTCCTTCTTGCCACACTATTTCATTAGCTCGTTAAAAATACAATTTTTCTCTAAATTATTCATCACACACACAAATGGTTCAAAAATAAACCAAATGATACGGATATCAGTTGTTATCAGGCAAAAAAGAAAAAAAAAACATATCATTTCATGTAGATACATCCGGCTAAATCCATAATATTTATATGATATATGATTATCTTTTCCTATTTATTTTTTTGTGTTTATGTTATAGATATTTTTTCCGTTGGCTTATGACTATGTCACACGTTTCATCAATATGTCACTCCATTACAGTGTATGCTCTTTTTTTTTTCTCTAACTATCGCTCCACATTCACTGTGTCGCTTCAAATTGGTTTGAGTGTGGAGGCACATTTCTTGCATATTTTTTTATCGATTGATTCGATTTTTAACAAATCGAAAACTGACCCCATTTCTTTCTGTTTGCCTTCGTACTACAACAACATACTGTTGTTGGGCAACGCATAATCTTCTTATGCGATATTTTTAATTGAAGAAAAACCGCATTGATTGCACAAGTAGCGAATCTTCATTGCACTTGATTAATCCGCAGCTTAAGTGAGCAACTGAAGTGAACTGTGAAAGAACATTAACTCCTGATAAAATGAGCTTCGATATAAACGGATGCTTTAGAAAATTATGCATCGCTTTTAATGGTCAAACCATGTTTGTCTTGCCTGTCATATTTCCTTCGCCGTACACACAGCTATTCAATGAGTTGTGTTCTGTCACAAACAATACATTCTGATATCTATTCATTAATATTTAACTGAAAACTGTTTGCCATACACACAGACAATACTCTTTGCTACTATCGCTCCTCACACAGTGTGAGAGTGAGAGCAAGAACAGATTGATTTTCATCGGCCAAAGTTTTTATCTCAATTGTTTCGTCTAAAGTGCCATATCAGCTGTAATATGAGCTATACCATTATTATATGTATACACATAGAAAACAATGAGCTCAATCCATTCAGGATACAAAAGACAAAAGGGAGGCACGTTTTGCTTTGGGAAATGCGTGTGCGGAAGCACATATTCGTAGGCAAATTTGTGCATGTATGTTGTGTTGTGTTCAAAACGATTCTGTTGCCTATCAATAAAAATACACTTCGTGCTCTCCGTTTGATGTCCACATCGCTGCTGGAGGGAGCAGATGAATGAAAAAAAAAGAAGAAGAAAAACATGAGCACACACGGTGTGACCTACGTTTATTGTTAAACTCTTTTTTTTCTCGCTCGCTTCCTTATCGGGTGCTCTTAAGTCATTGATTAAAAGCGACAAAAAAAGAACGAGAAAATGGCAAAAAAAAACCGATTGAATTGCATCATCAGAAAGATTACTGTAAGAATGGCTTTGGTGAATGAAACAACACACCAAAAGCATCTGGATACAAAATGAGCACTGTTGATGTTCCATAATCTGCATGAAAATTGTCGGCATGGGAATAAACAGGCAGAAAAATTGAAGAGAAACTGGTAAATTGTCGTGGAATGAAGAGTTTTCCACAGACAAAGTTGAATCGGATACAAGGCTTTCGACAGCGGATGTACGATCTCAGTTCGCATGTCTATTTTCATTTTCTTCAATGTTAGTGTGTATTGTGTATACATTAAAATGTACTCGCGATCTCCAGCCCACTTTGGACAAATTAGATTTAAATTAATAAATGCCAGAATCCTGACATTGAATTTCATATTATTGTTGCCCATCGGGCGCGCGCGCACACACACACTCTCTCTGCTCTCTCTCCTAACGCCGCCGCCACTGCAGCTACTGCTATTCTTGATCTGAAAATACATTTTAATCCGTGTGTGCGCCGCCGTTTCTGTATATTGACTATTATTATTACGCGATCAGCGGTTGTCTGTCTCTATCTCATCGTGGCTTGTGATTTCAAATTGTCGACCAAATTAGAAAACAAAAGGCTCGTGCGCTCGTGCTCTGTGAATGGATCTCTCTTACTCCCTCTCTCTCCCTCTCTCTCTGTCTTGTTCGCTCGCTCTTCATCGTCTCTCCAGAACACAAAGCTAATGTATTTAGGATCGTCAGCACTCAGCTAATGATAGCATTGAGCGTATTTGTCAAACAATACTTGACAGCGACAGCCGCAACAGTAGCAGCAGAAGCAGAAGCAGCATTCAAACAACGACAACCAAAATGCATAGCATTTTTTTTTCACTTGTTCTTCGCCTAACTGAAATGCTGTTGATGTGAAAGCCGTTTACTGTACACTGTGTACATTAATTGAATCAATAAAATGTGCCTCACATTATATAATATACTTGAACTACATTCACAGGCCACGAGGCATAACTCACAATTCAGTACGTAGTGTTATAAATATGTATATGTATATCGTTTTTGTCGACCGATTCTCAGAGTTTGACAATGTTTCTTCAAATTTAATTTGCAAGTATTTTCGAAGAAGAGAATTTTCACGCAAAACGAAATCAAATGTTCATTGTTTGTCGCACCTCGTTCATTTCGCACGAAGACGGAACAGTTTTTCCGATTAAGGAATATTTTCATTGAACATAAAAATATATTTGTCCGTACATCGAATATGAATTTTAAATGTTAATGGAAACCTTCAAATCGTCAATTTCCATTGACACGATATTAAACGATTATTATTCGGAAAGAATTTCATTTTTCATTGTCGATTGAATTTTTCGGGCGAATTGCGATCACATCTTATTAGCATTCTCAATAATAGTATACATTGGGGTATATGGCTCTGAAGAGAGATTCATACGCCGCTTCGATATCTTATACCGCTTCGTTCATTCGCTCGTTCGCTCACACACTCAGACTTGCTACATCTATATAATTTGCGTCTGATTGAGTTGTTCGGCTTCGCTTAATTTGAACTGTGAATGAGCGCATGTACACGCTGGCTGAAAACATTTTCATTTATGATTGTGCACAAATTGATTACTTTCATTATTTGATATATTGCACATTGATTCATTGGTTTGGCTGGCGTTCATGAACGGATAGAGGTCTCGCATTTGTTATTTTTAAAAACAATCGACTCGGATCGATTTACATGTACTCAATTTTTTTTGTTCCAGTGTAATGTGTCCCGAGTGTCGGAGCCCCGGAGCCCAACGATATATATATATATTATAATATCATTTCTTGGAAAATATCAACACAGTGAAATACACAGTAACAAATGTATCAATGATGCATCGCAGAATTGTGTGGCCACCGATTCGGATTCGGTACAGCGAGTGGGTCGAACTTTAAAGTTTGTCTCAATTCTCAAATCAGCGAGAGACTCATTCTGAAGTTAAAGTAGCATAAGTTGTGTGTTGACTAGAAATTGCGATGCAACTGATAGATTCGTTCCATTGTTGCCGTTGATTCTATTATCGCACATATATTATGAATATGTCATACATTTTCACTATTGTACACGCTTTTCAATTAAACGAGAAATAAACGAGAGATTATTCAAATTCTAGAGTATTTCAAGCATCTAGTCGTATTCATTCTATTGCACGCTCATTACTCATTTTTCACCACACATTCCTGATTTTATTATTATCTATCTGTGCGATTCTTTCGCTCCAATTTCTCCCATCTTCTCTCACTTGTCTCTCTAGTTTCGGGTCTTTGCACAGAAATTCGGTTGTCAACCGTCGAAATGGTGGTGAACATTATGTATCGAGTGA